TCTAGAAAAAAGGAGTTGAAGAGGCAGAGAGGACCCACATTCACTTTACAACTGAGTAAACTGAAATGTGACTGAAAAGATACCCTTGAGATGGTAGCAAGCGCAGGCAGAGATCGAAGCGGTGACACAGCCCCAACTGCACCAGTGGGGGTCTCTGCCAAGGCCAGCTGCTCTGGGGCTCTTGCCACCATGGTTTGGGCAGGCTCCTACCACCCCAGCTCCCACAGGGGCTGCCCAGGGCAACAGTGAGATGCCACGGTGTCCCCAGGGCCCGCGGTGTGTCCCACTTGCAGGCTGGTGCACTTGCAGGAGGCTGCAGTGGAAAAGGTAGATCGGTGTAATGGTACCTGCAAGGGATGCACTGCTGGTGTCATGGTCACCTGCCCACTGCCAACAAATGGAAAACAGGTTCTCTTGCCTTTCATCCAGAATTTCAGATGCTCAGAAGGAAACACATAATGCAGCTCATTGAGATTTTTGGTGGGATTTCATAGACTGTGGGTTTGTTTTTTTAACAGTTTGGAAAAAAATCAACTTCATTTTAGTACATTTGGTGTGGAAGATAAACTTGGGATGTGGGATGCAAGTGAAGACATTAAAGACGTGTTCCTGAACATGCTCTGGGCCTCAGACAGAAAACTATAAACTAGGTAAAAGAAGAGAGAAGCAAGAAGTGAGCTGTGTAAGGCAGTACATCTCCAAAACTACTGCTGTTTCCCAAGATACTGTACAAACTCAGATCTAATCAGCAGTGCAACAAGATAATATTCACCAAAATGTAGCTCATTTCTAGCCCTGCTCAGCTGCTGAGAAGGACAGCATGTAAAGGAGTGTTTCTGAGGGTACATACAGTGTTTTGTTTTGACCCCACTGCAGTCTCTAAAATGCTCCACGGAGTGAGGCCCAGTATCAAAAACAGCCCTAAAAATGTTTTTGTTTTGTTTCTTCTTTTAAAAAAATAAATATAAATTCTTTCAAAAATCTGTGTAAGGACTGGAACTGCCTTAGAAAGCTCACTAACAGTGCAGTACGGAACGCACAATCCGTATGAGCTGACAGAAGGATTCCCTTTGGCTTCATTAGGTTGGATACAGTCCCTTGTGTAAATAAGTAGTAGCAACTTTTAATAATGATGGAATCAAAAAATACCACAGAGGCATGGGGAAGAAACCACCTGGAATATAATTAAAATAAATTTGGTTCAGCAAATAAAGCAATCAGGTAACTTTTTCTAGAACAAGGACTGAGTGTCTATTTTTTGGAGCAAGGATTGCTTTGCTCATTTGTTTGCTTTGTTTAACAGTTGACTTTCCATTAGCAGCCACCTCCTATTTCATTGCAAAGCATTTCTACAGTCTGATCACTTTGCAAAATGTTCCCCAGCCCAGGACAGAGGTGGGATTTCACCTGCTCTATTGCTCTGAATTACATCATTATTACTCTGGCAAGCCAAACTGTGGTTCACAGAGAAAAGAAAATACAAAAATGTTTGAATTTGTTCTTTGCTTATAGAAAGGTCAGAGGAATCTGAATTACTGCACCAGTCATGAATGTTAATAGACTGGTTGTGAGCTGTTGTAGACTGCAAGTGACACAATGCCCCATGGCAAACCCTGCTACAGTTGAACATTTGAGAAAGACCAACTTAAAGTCTGCCTCTACTCTTCTTTGTGCCTTAGCTGAAAGTACCTGAAAGTGGGGCTGTCCTGGAGGGGGAGGCTGACATGTTGCAGCCCTTCCCAAGCACCTCCTGGGGTTCATGGCTCTCATGCTGGGTTAGCCTCCTGGGATGTTCAAATACGAGTGGCCTCAATCTATCACACATGTCAGATGAGCCCTTTGGGTTACCAGGAAAGCCTGAGGTAGACACTTGCTCCCCTGCATGGAGCTTGTCCAGGGTGCTGGCATGGACGTGGTGCTGCTCCCACACCCTGAACAGAAGCAGCTCTGCACTTCATACTCACACCCTTAGTTCCCAGACCATGAGCCATGCAGCCAAAAGACCACTGTGAGATGTGACACGAGTTATCTAAGAGCCATCACAACAAGAACCTGAAGAAGACACTGAGGCAGACCCAATTTTTCAATGCAGATATTGTTCACCTTAGCTGGAATAGCCTTCTTTCTCTTTGCTCAAAACCCATCTAATTCACCCTTTGCTGCTTACCTTGTACAGGAGGTACAAGGTATCCTGGTCCACCAGCCCTAAATCCATCCCCACAGAGCATGATTCACACACACCGAGGAAAATAAATATCATCCTGTCACTTATGTGAACAAGCACTTTTAACCTGGCTGGGCAATGACTGCTTTCAGATCGAAGCTACCAAGTACAGGTCCTTCTGGTGCCCTCAAAGCTTGCTTATACCCCTGAAAGAGAACCTATACCTTTTTCCTTACAGGTGTTCTAGATGTTACTGCAATTCTCAAGTTACTGTTAGAAAGCCACCTGATGACAGCTGCACCACATATTGTCACTCAGTGATGCAGGAGGCTCCTTCCTCCTGTTGAAGAACTGAGCAGCAATGCCACAAAGCAGCACAAAGTTGTCCCATTAAAAAGAGCTCAGAGAGGGCAGGATAAACTAGCCCAACTCTGCAGCTTCCTATGTACTGGGGCAAATTCCACTTCTAACACAAGAGCACCAACTTAAAAATCTGGGATGGATTAGCCTGGATTCAGATGCACGGAAGAGAACCCAAAGCAACTGTTTAGCAGACCTCTTTATTGGCTCTCAGCCTGACCTAGGAGACCAGCATTTCTACCACCCCTTGAATGTTCTGTGCAAAGTCATGACCTGGAAAGGGTTGATGGCTTCCAAGGACTGTGTTTCAGTAAAAAGTTAGATCTCTATTTGTAGAGGTCATGGAAGCTTTACCATGTGATTGCAACCCTACAGGCAGCACCTGCAAGGTAGGCTGTGACTTTACTCTTTCTAGCATTTATCCTGTCTGGTCCTAATGCAGAAGCCAGGGCTGTGATATTAAAGGCATGCTGATGCTCCACCATATGAATGACAACGTATTGCCAGATACAGACTTTGGTAGTTTAGGATTACTTAAACATATAGGTATGGTAAGAAAATAATTACTATGAAGTCATTTCTTCAGAAGATCAAAAAATTCCAAAAGAAAGGTGCCTATGTGTCATGATTTACAAATGGTACTCCACAATTTAGTGGTCTTACTGAGACTCTCCAAACCATGTGCTGCTCTCTCACCTCCCCCCTCTCACCCCTGCTGGAGAGGAGAATTGGAGGCACAAATCACAGGTTGAGAGAAGAACAATTTACTGGAAACAGCAATGAGATAAGAAAGTGAACAGTAACAGCAATAATATTAATACCAAAGTGTACAAGATAGGCAAATGATTCACACATGATTGCTCGGAAGCAGCAATCCCTTTACTCCCTCTGCAGGCTTGCTCAACCAGGAAGGACCCCTTCTCCCTGGAAGAGACTCCCTTCCCATCACCCTCCCACCCCCCTCCCCCGCCCCTGGCAATGACAGAATAACCTCTGGGTCATGGTCATGCCCCTTCCTGGCCATTGCAAAAATCAACCCTGTCCTGGCACGAACCAAGACACTTCCAATACTATTTGGAATGTGCGTGTGCCTCATGCAGCAAATAAATATTTTTCTTAAGTAGGATCCTGGTTTTATCCCTTCAAGATGGCTTCGAAGGAAAAGCTTTGGAAATAACCTCCTAGGATCTAACTGGTGAGGTTCCTGTCAGCAGGAATGCTGAGTTCTCCCCCCAGCTGGGATTGAAAGGTGGGGAGGGAGGGAGGGAACTGCAGGAAGAGGAATTGATGGTCTCAAAACTGGATAACAATATTTTCCTGGAGAATGGGATACACCTGTGCTACAGAGGTCTTGTTCAATCACTAATTGCAGAAACAGCTATTAATTGTATGTTCATCATTTTGTGCTCAGCATGAGAGGCTGGGACTGGATTTGTAAAATGTTGATTATTCAACAGCTTCAGCTGATGCCAAAGTGAGCTGTGCTTTGATTCTCTAAAGCACTACAAAACAGCGAATAACTTGAAAAGTGAGGCCATGGTGTGCTGGTTTAAAAGTTAACCAGCAGGGGGAATGAACCCAACTCAAAGGAGAGATTATAAGTCAGAATAACAATTTATTAAAATAATACAGTAAGTACAATAATACAAACAAACAATTGGTCTCAACCCACAAAAACCCAAATGTGTAACCCAGTACCCTGGGGCCTGAACAAAGTGGTGTTCCTTGGGCCCTGTTTGAGTCCAAAGTAAAGGGAGAGGGGAAGAACCTGCTGGTGGGAGAGCTGCTGCAGTCTGGCCAGAACTGGTGATCGCAGTCCAGTGGTGGTCTAAGTCTGGTTGAGAGCGATGAGATGCAGCCGTCCTCTGGATCCCACGAGTGGGTTGAAAAATGTTCCAAAACTCCAAGATTATATATCCTCCAGTTCAGGCAGGAATGCTTGGTACTCCCCTCAGGGTGGGGAGTTTCACAAAGGGTGTGAGGACAGAAACATCCTCCTATCTCACAGGCCTCTTAACACCTAGTTTATAGCCTGAGGAGTCAGGCTCTATGGGCAGAAGGGTGCGAATAGTCTATTGACAACAATAGTCTAGTTTCTGGGAAATGACATGGAAGGCTATAGAATACAGTTTTGGGTTACACCACCATGCTCTATGGGCAGAGGGTGCGAATAGTCTATTGACAACAATAGTCTAGTTTCTGGGAAATGACATGGAAGGCTATAGAATACAGTTTTGGGTTACACCCACCATGCTCTATGGGCAGAAGGTGCGAATAGTCTATTGACAACAATAGTCTAGTTTCTGGGAAATGACATGGAAGGCTATAGAATACAGTTTTGGGTTACACCCACCATGATGAACTGATCTCAGCTGTCCTAACTAGGACATTATCCACCCCTTATTCTATGCCATCCATGTCATGCCCAAATTAACCCCCTTTAAAAACTATATCCCTTTAAAACTATATACATCTATCTATCTATCTATCTATATATATATACAATGAAACATTACAGACCATTCTCACTCAAAATTAGGTCCCCTTGTGGTACACAACGTGTCTCCCCATCTTTTTGCATTACCCACCACGTGGAACCAGGTCCCTGAGCAAAAACAATCCCTCGGATGGGTTTGCCTTTGCTTGAGGTGGGACTAATCCAAACAGTCTTCCCTAACATTCCTCTCATATGTACCACGGGGACTTTATCTCCATCTACAGTATGCAAAAGTTCTGATTGGGCAGGGCCAGCTCGATTGATGGAACCTCGGGTGTTGACCAACCAGGTGGCCTTTGCTAAATGCAGCTCCCAGTGTTTGAGAGTCTCCCCACACAGTGCCTTCAGAGTGGTTTTCAGCAGTCCGTTGCACCGCTCAACTTTTCCAGCAGCTGGTGCATGGTAGGGGATATGATACACCCACTCAATGCCGTGCTCTTTGGCCCAGGTGTCTACAAGGCCATTCTTGAAATGGGTCCCATTATCAGACTCAATTCTCTCCGGGGTGCCGTGTCGCCACAGGACTTGTTTTTCAAGGCCCAGGATGGTATTCCGGGCAGTGGCATGAGGCACGGGGTATGTCTCCAACCATCCAGTGCTTCCTTCTACCATGGTCAGTACGTAGTGCTTGCCTTGGCGGGTTTTGGGGAGCGTGATGTAGTCAACTTGCCAGGCTTCCCCATACCTGTACTTTGACCACCGTCCACCATACCATAGAGGCTTCACCCGCTTGGCCTGCTTGATGGCAGCACATGTCTCACAGTCATGGATGACCTGTGAGACAGTGTCCTTGGTTAAGTCCACCCCTCGGTCACGAGCCCATCTGTATGTTGCATCTCTCCCCTGGTGACCGGAGGCGTCATGGGCCCATCGAGCCAGAAATAATTCTCCTTTGTGCTGCCAATCCAGATCTACCTGAGAGACTTTAATCCTGGCAGCTCGGTCCGCCTGCTCGTTGTTATGATGCTCCTCATTAGCCCGTTTCTTGCCTACATGAGCGTCTACGTGACGGACCTTCACACTCAGCTTCTCTACCCGGCCAGCGATGTCCTGCCACATCTCCGCCGCCCAGATGGGTTTCCCTTGGCGCTGCCAGTTGGCCTTTTTCCATCGCTCCAGCCATCCCCACAGAGCATTGGCCACCATCCATGAGTCAGTGTAGAGATAGAGTCTTGGCCACTTCTCTCGTTCAGCTATATCCAAAGCCAACTGAACGGCTTTAAGCTCTGCAAACTGACTTGACCCACCTTGTCCTTCGGTCGCTTCTGCAACTCGCCGTGTGGGACTCCATACAGCTGCCTTCCATTTTCGGTTTGTCCCTACAATGCGGCAGGAGCCATCCGTGAAGAGCACATATCGCCTTTCATCTGCTGGTAGCTTGTCATATGGTGGGGCCTCCTCAGCCCGTGTCACCTTCTCCTCCTCTTCTTCAGAGGATAGTCCGAAACTCTCACCTTCGGGCCAATTGGTGATAATTTCCAGAATCCCAGGGCGATTAGGATTCCCTATCCGGGTTCGCTGCGTGATCAGAGCCATCCACTTACTCCATGTGGCATCGGTGGCATGATGTGTGGAAGGAACTCTTCCCTTGAACATCCAGCCCAGCACTGGTAGTCGGGGTGCCAGGAGGAGCTGCGCTTCGGTGCCGATTACTTCTGAGGCAGCTCGAACTCCTTCATAGGCAGCCAGGATCTCTTTCTCAGTTGGTGTATAGCTGGCTTCAGATCCTTTGTATCCCCGACTCCAGAATCCCAGCGGTCGTCCTCGGGTCTCCCCAGGCACTTTCTGCCAGAGGCTCCAAGAAGGGCCATTCTCCCCGGCTGCGGTGTAGAGCACGTTCTTCACGTCCTGTCCTGTCCTTACTGGCCCAAGGGCTACTGCATGGGCAATCTCCTGTTTAATTTGTTCAAAGGCTTGTTGTTGTTCGGGGCCCCACTGGAAATCATTTTTCTTCCGTGTCACAAGGTAGAGAGGGCTTACAATCTGACTATACTCGGGGATATGCATCCTCCAAAAGCCCACAGCGCCTAGGAAAGCCTGTGTTTCCTTCTTGCTGGTTGGTGGGGACATGGCTGCTATTTTGTTAATCACCTCCATTGGAATTAGACGGCGTCCATCTTGCCACTTCACTCCTAGGAACTGAATTTCCTGAGCAGGTCCCTTGACCTTACTCCGTTTAATGGCAAAACCGGCTCTTAGGAGAATCTGGATTATCTTCTCTCCTTTCTCGAAGACTTCGCCCGCTGTGTTCCCCCATACAATGATGTCATCAATGTACTGTAGGTGCTCTGGAGCCTCACCCTTTTCCAGTGCAGTCTGGATCAGTCCATGGCAAATGCTGGGACTGTGTTTCCACCCCTGAGGCAGTCGATTCCAGGTGTACTGCACACCTCTCCAAGTGAAAGCAAATTGTGGTCTGCACTCCGCTGCCAAAGGAATGGAGAAAAAGGCATTGGCTATGTCAATGGTGGCATACCACTTGGCTTCCTTGGACTCCAGCTCGTACTGGAGCTCCAGCATGTCCGGCACAGCAGCACTCAGGGGTGGTGTGACTTCATTGAGTCCACGGTAATCCACCGTCAGCCTCCACTCTCCGCTGGACTTACGCACTGGCCATATAGGGCTATTAAAGGGTGAGCGAGTCTTGCTGACCACCCCCTGGGTCTCCAGTTCACGGATCATCTTTTGTATAGGGGTCACAGAGTCTCGGTCGGTGCGGTATTGCCGACGGTGCACTGTTGCTGTGGCTATCGGTACCAATTGTTCTTCAACCTTCAGCAGTCCCACAGCAGAGGGGTCCTCTGAGAGACCAGGCAAGGTGTTCAACTGTCTAATTTCCTCCGTCTCCACAGCAGCTATGCCAAAAGCCCAACGAAGTCCTTTTGGGTCTTTGAAATACCCACTCCTCAGGTAATCTATGCCAAGGATACACGGGGCCTCTGGACCAGTCACGATGGGGTGTCTGTGCCATTCCTTCCCAGTCAGGCTCACTTCAGCTTCCAGTACAGTCAGCTGTTGGGATCCCCCTGTCACCCCAGAAATAGAGATGGATTCTGCCCCTACGTATCTTGATGGCATTAATGTACATTGTGCGCCAGTGTCCACTAAAGCCTTATATCTTTGTGGCTCTGATGTGCCAGGCCACCGAATCCACACAGTCCAATAGACTCGATTGTCCCTCTCCTCTACCTGGCTAGAGGCAGGGCACCCCTAGTCCTGGTCATGGTACTCATTGTGCTCTTCTTGTGGGTATGACCTGGAGGTCCCTTCAAGAGGATCAGACGTATCATCATTCCTGTACCGTCTGGAGTCTTGCCCACGAGAGACTGGAGCAACGTTTACCCTTGAAGAGTTCTTTATGGTATTTGTTCCTCTTTTCAGTTCACGTACCCGGGCTGCTAAGGAAGAGGTGGGTTTCCCATCCCACTTCCTCATATCTTCTCCATGCTCACGGAGGTAAAACCATAGATCGCTACGTGGAGTGTACCTTCTCTCCTTAGCTGGGGGACGCTGGCTCCTGATAGCAGAGACTCTTGTTCGTCCTGGCGAGATATGGAAAATCCCTTCCTTAATTTCTTCTCTTAGCTTCTGGTGTCCCTCTTCAATTTTCTCTTCTAGGCTTCGGACGTGTTCAGCCAGTTTGGTTTCCACAGATGAGACGTGGGCTCGTAATGGGGCGGTGACAGTGTCTTCATAAATCCTGAGTTTGCTAACCAATGCTCCCACCTTGTCCTCTCCCTCCCTCCATTGCAGCGTTGCTAAGTAGCGGGAATACATTTCTGGCCCGAGTCGTGCAAACTTTAACCACATTTGGGAGGTGCACTGTACGCCATCTGGACTCTTAGGGAATCTTTCATCCTCTGAAAAGATTATCTCCAGTACAGCTAACTCCCTTAAGCACCGGATACCTTGTTCCATCGTGTTCCACTGTCCTTGCTGTACGTGGAGGTCCTCCTTGCAAAGGTATCTCTCCCTCACACTGGACAACAGTCGCCGCCAGAGGCTGAGAGTTTCCTGCCTCCTTCCAATCCCCTGATCAATGACTACATCTCGAGACAGGGATCCCAGCTGTCTGGCTTCACTCCCATCTAGGATCGTATCGTTAGCTGCGGCATCCCAGATTCGGAGCAGCCAGGTCAGAATGGACTCGTTCGCCTGTCGTGTGAACTCTCTCCGGAGCTCACGTAGCTCACCCAGGGATAGGGACCGAGTGATTATTTCTGGCTCTGTCTCCTCCGGTGGATGTGAAGGTCCCGCCTCTTCGTCATCATTTGCTATGCGAACTGATTTAGTCTTTGATTTCCTTTTCTGGACAGGGGCGACTGCTATTGGTTTTGCTTGTTCTTCTGGCTCCTCGATGGTTTGTGTGGACACGGTGCTGGTTGGTTCATTTCTTTCTCCCTCTGACTCAGCTGTGGTTTGGGTGGACGTGGTGTCTGCGGATTTGGTCCTTCTCTCCTCGCCCTGACAGTGCTGTATCATGTCAAGCAGTGCCCGGTAGGCAGTGGCCAGGGCCCAGCAGGTTGCTGTGAGCTGGCCATCTCTGGAGCTGCCAGAGCATTTTTCCTTCACCAGTCTTATCATGCTAACAGGATCCTGCAGTTGTTCAGGGGTGAATTTCCAGATCATTGGAGGAGAAAACTTTTCCAAATACTGGCTGATGTCCTCCCACTTCCCGTGCCACTCAGCATTATCTGCTCCCAGGGCAGGTGTCCAACCAACCTCCCTAAAAGGCACTTTTCTGACCCTAAACATGGTGTACACAGTACAGAGCAGACAGAGCAACACTAACAATAACATTATGCTGTCCTTAACATCAAAAGGGAACTCAATATTTTCAAAAACTGTTTTAGCAGGTCTGAAGGGGAAGAAGGAGGTGGGAGGCTGGAAACCATCCACCCCTGTTCCCCCAAAAAGCTGGGTACGATTTTTAATGAGGCCCCAGAGGTAGCAACCCAAACCAGGACAGGCAAACAGGACTGAATACACATTTACAATGAAACTCATTGCTTCTGATGTTAGAATGACATAAACATAATATACTAATAAAGCAATTTGGATCCCTCTCCCTGGTCTTAAAGAGAGCATCAAAACAGGCAAATAATACGCCATCTGTGGAAATATGAACAGGCTCAAATACAACATCCATGTGAGTGCATCAAACAACATGGTGATCAGGGAGTTTCTATATTCAAATAGACAAATGCTTCAAATGAAATTGTGATTCTGACTTCTCTCTCTCTGCCCGACGTTTGGGCGCCAAAATGTGCTGGTTTAAAAGTTAACCAGCAGGGGGAATGAACCCAACTCAAAGGAGAGATTATAAGTCAGAATAACAATTTATTAAAATAATACAGTAAGTACAATAATACAAACAAACAATTGGTCTCAACCCACAAAAACCCAAATGTGTAACCCAGTACCCTGGGGCCTGAACAAAGTGGTGTTCCTTGGGCCCTGTTTGAGTCCAAAGTAAAGGGAGAGGGGAAGAACCTGCTGGTGGGAGAGCTGCTGCAGTCTGGCCAGAACTGGTGATCGCAGTCCAGTGGTGGTCTAAGTCTGGTTGAGAGCGATGAGATGCAGCCTTCCTCTGGATCCCACGAGTGGGTTTAAAAATGTTCCAAAACTCCAAGATTATATATCCTCCAGTTCAGGCAGGAATGCTTGGTACTCCCCTCAGGGCGGGGAGTTCACAAAGGGTGTGAGGACAGAAACATCCTTCTATCTCACAGGCCTCTTAACACCTAGTTTATAGCCTGAGGAGTCAGGCTCTATGGGTAGAAGGTGCGAATAGTCTATTGACAACAATAGTCTAGTTTCTGGGAAATGACATGGAAGGCTATAGAATACAGTTTTGGGTTACACCCACCATGATGAACTGATCTCAGCTGTCCTAACTAGGACACATGGGTATTCTCATTCCAGGGCTGAGCCTGGTGTGCCGGTGGTCTGTGTGATCCCAGCCTTATCGTGCCACAGTGCCATCAGAATAAACACATTTGGATTTCCAGAGCACAGGGTGCTGCGGTGATGGACAGCTCAGGAAAGCTGCTAATGCATAAATTGTCTACTTAGACCTTTGGAAAACATTTTCCTGTGGCATTTGTGAGACTTCAGCAATTCAGTACATCACACAGCAACCTGTGAAGTATGAACTGGATATTGCCCCCACTTTGGGAGAAACCCTTAAGGCCATACAGCAGGTGAAAACTGGCAAGGCAGCTGGGGTTGATGGAATTCCACCTGAAGTCTGGAAACATGGGGGCCTTGCACTCCATGCTAAATTTCACGAGTTTGTGGTGCACTGTTGGGAACTAGGTGAACTACCATCAGACCTTCGTGATGCACTCATCATTACCTTGTACAAGAAGAAAGGAGTTAAATCAGACTGCTCAAATTACCATGGTATTACTCTGCTCTCCATTGCTGGCAAAATTCTGGCAAGAATACTCTTGAACAGACTAATACCCGTTATAGCAGAAGGAATTCTACCTGAAAGCCAGTGTGGTTTCAGAGCCAACAGGAGTACCACAGACATGGTATTTGTTCTCAGACAACTGCAAGAGAAGTGTAGGGAACAGAACAAAGGTCTCTATGTAACCTTTGTTGACCTCACCAAGGCTTTTGATACTGTGAGCAGAAAGGGTCTATGGCAGATTTTGGAACGTTTAGGTGGTCCCCCCAAGTTCCTTAAAATGATCATCTCACTCCATGAGGATCAGCACGGCCAAGTCAGATATGGCAACACACTTTCTGAGCCCTTTCTAATAAAGAATGGTGTGAAACAAGGTTGTGTTCTTGCACCAACCCTATTTACAGTCTTTTTCAGCAGGATGCTCCAAAGGGTCACAGCAGACCTCGATGATCAGGATGGTATCTACATTCGATACTGTACTGATGGAAGCCTATTCAACCTAAGGCATCTGAAGGCCCACACCAAGACCTTAAACCATCTTGTCCAGGAGCTGCTTTATGCTGATGACGCCGCCCTCGTCGCTCACACAGAAGCAGCTCTGCAGCGTTTAACATCCTGCTTTGCAGATGCTGCTGAGCTCTTTGGGCTTAAAGAAGACAGAAGTTCTCTATCAACCTGCACCTCAGAAAGACTTCCATCATCCCCATATCACCATTGGTCAATCACAGCTCAAATCAGTCCAGCAGTTTAATTACCTGGGTAGCCTCATCTCCTCGGATGGTAAGATTGACGGAGAGATAGACAACAGGTTAGCAAAGGCATACAGTGCTTTCGAAAAGCTTCATAAAAGAGTTTGGCAAAACAAACACCTGAAGAAAAGTACAAAGATCAGTGTTTACAGAACCATTGTGCTGTCCACTCTTTTATATGGATCCGAATCATGGGTCATCTACCACCACCATCTGCGACTCCTAGAACACTTCCATCAACGCCATCTCCATACAATCCTAAACATCCACTGGTCAGATTATGTGACTAATACGTCTGTTCTAGAACAAGTAGCAGTCACAAGTATTGAGGCCACGTTGCTGAGAACACAGCTGCGTTGGGCAGGGCACGTCTCCAGAATGAAGGACCAACCACCGCCTCCCTAAGATCTTGCTCTATGGTGAACTTGCCACTGGCTGCCGCAAGAGAGGAGCCCCCAAGAGAAGATACAAGGACTCCCTGAAACAACATCTCAGCCTTGGCCATATTGATCATCATAACTGGTCTACTCTGGCCTCCAATCGGGAGGTCTGGAGACACACCATCTATAACGCTGCTGATGCTTTTGAGAAAGCACACAGGATCATCCTTGAGGAGAAAAGACAACACAGAAAGAATCGTGCCTTGCAGAATATACCACCTAAGGAGTCTTTCTGCTGTGCCTTTTGCAACTGGACGTATCTACCTCGTATTGGCCTTTTTAGCCACCACCGTGCTTGTAACAGACGTGGGTAGACCCCTTCCCAAATCTTCGTTCACGAAGCCCAGCCATGATGATGATGATGTGAGACCAAACTAATCACTCACATTGGAGGCTGTGCTACAGATGCCCAGAATTATAGGTACACACATTAAACATACCAAAGATTTTTTATCTCTGAATGATATAGCTCCAAGAATAGCCCAAAGGCCTGTGAAAGTAACAAATCTCTTTGTTGCTCTACAGAAATCAGCATCAGGCCCTGTCTAGAACTTGCTCCAGGTTGAGCCTTGGCCAGCAGCTGCTGCAGATGGGAAGAAACACCCTTCTCAGACACTTTCTTCCTGGCAGCACACATTTCTCATGAGCTGTTAAAACAAAACTCTCACAATAATGTTCCAACCTTGCATTAACCACGATGGTGGTACAGCCTTGAACCAACTCTGAGAGCTTGGGCACTGCAGGCAGAGTAATAAACTGGGAGAATGTCTGTCACCTCTTTTGACACCATCCAGAGTGTGTAAAGCAATTCCAGATTACAGATGGTAATCCTCTTCAACCCCACCCCCTTTTACTGAGAGCACACAGGTAGGTGCTTTACCTTCACCAAGTGAAGGTACCTTTCAAATACAGAGGGCTTTCACTTGTTACACCTTTGTATTCTGATTCGAGTATGTGCTTGTTGCAATGAAGACAGACAGGAATCCATGCCTGGGAATGTAGCTGGGATATGTCTATGAAAGATTCAGAAGAAATTATGCCACAGAAGAACCAGAGGGCTTCCCGCATTTTTAAAACATGCTAAACTTTCGTATTATTGCTTTAATCGACTGATAGGTAAAATCTGCCTCAGCAGGGACCAGGCAGTCCAGCGAGGTTTGGGGACAGGAGGAACATGCTCTTTGTCTGTGCAGACACTCATCTCCACCACATACCCTGGGAAAGGAACCAGCAGGACCTGGGAGAAACTCTGAGTGAAGCTGCAAAGAATAGACAGAGCAAGAAGGTTGAAATGTTTCCCCTGTTCTCTTAAAATGTGTCATGATTTTACATTTTTACTTGATTTTGCAGAATATTGGTACTCTTTTCACTCACTACCAACATATTATTTTTATTTCTCTACAGATGCATCTGAGATTTTTTGGAATATGCTTCTGTTCTTCAGACATGTTTTTCAGACAGGAAAAGTAAACAGATCTCTTCCCAACCTCAGCCAGCAGAAATGCTCTTCCCAGTCTCCCAAAATACCCACCATATTTTTCCAGTTCTTTCCTTTTTCCTTTATTTAAAATATAGCCATAATAAATATCACAGATTCCATCAAAGTCACGGTGAGCACCTGGGCGAGAGCCCTGTTGTCATGGTACCTCCAGGGATTTGCAATAGACAGGCAGAGACACTTCTGTTGGGCAAAGCAGTGACTGTTTTAGGGAAGTCATGTTTAAAAGATCAAAATGCCTGAAAGCATCTCTGCCTCACCATGTGAGATGCTTTTAACTAAGATCTGGTTTTGCATAAAGTGGATACTACACACGGGAATAAACCCCACATGTTTGCAGCACAAGCTACCCAGAGAGACCAAGTGCTCCTAGCAGAGTTTTGTGTTTGGAAGCACAGTGTAGCAGTAGTTTGCTTTCGGAAGAATTTGTAATGGGAAAGCTAGAAACTCGGTTTTTGCTTAGGAAGGCTGCAAAGTGCCTTATCAAGAGGGCTACATGGTTTTTTCCCCTTCTGCAGTGCAGAGGGGGTTGCAGAGAGAGCTGTGTTATCTCCCTCTCTCCTGTGCTGGAGAGAGATAACCCCAACACACTTACAGAGGTCTTGGGAAGGTGGGGGAGGAACAGAGAGGATAAAGAGGCCCTGGAGGGGGCAGGAACTTGCCTTTTCCTCCCTGGGGCCAGTGCTCAAACAGCACTGGCAGGTATTTGCAAGTTTCTCATGTTCTGGTCTTCTAAATAAACTTTTGAATTCTTCCACTGCCATGGCATTTCTGGGGATACCTGCATATCTTACTTTACACACAGGTAGGATGTCTTTTTAGAAATGGTTGAAATTTGGTTTTAGTAAGGAAGTTTCAATTTTTCTTTTAATACGATCTCCAAAATTTCAATGGGGGGTGGTGGTGGTGTTCTTTGT